CTTTAAAAGATTCAAGGGGGACACGTCCATCAGTGAATATCGGCTATGGTGACCAAAGGGAACCTCCAAATTCAGAGGCAGTCAGCCTCTGAATCCCAGAGCCTTGAGGCAACATCAGGGGAAGGTCTTGGCCTCTGTACCCTGTTCGTTGGCCCTCCAGTTGCCATCAGGAGGTCCACCAGCAGGGCCAGAACTCCAGAAGCCCTCCCACTGTTGCCCCCCAAGCACCAAGAAGACAGAGCATGACTGTCCCAGGCAGAGTGTTCCATCTAGCCCTTGTGGCTAATAGCCACTCAGGGACCTCTGCTCCATCTGTTTATCCAGTCCCCTCTTGTAGCTGCCACCACTTCCTGCAGCAGGTAATTCTGCATGTTAATTACTCTTTGGGTAAAGAAGTACTTCCTTTTATCTGTTCTAAACCTACTGCTCATTAATTTCATGGAGTGCCCACAAGTTCTTGTATTGTGAGAAAGGGAGAAAAGTGCTTCTTTCTCTGCCTTCTCTCCTGCATAATTTTGGGTGGGCTTGCAATTAGACAGACAGACAAACAGACAGACAGACCATCTTAGAGACCAACAAGATCCAGGATATAAGCTTTCAAGAGTCAGAGCTCCTTCTGTCAGATAGCCTTGGGGTATCTCAGAGTATAAGCTTTGACTCTCAAACGTCTAGACACCGAAAATCTTGTCGGTATCTAAGGCACTACTGGACTCAAATCTAGAGGATCTACTGCAGACCAACATGGTCCCTTTCTGAAACTATCTTTTTTCGAGCCGTCATCTTTTCCATATCTTTATCAATCATGCCAGATGCTCTCATACATGGACAATTGGATCACAGTCAAGTTGTAGTAGCAGTTTTGTGGTCTGGGATGGGCCATGGAATCCATGATGCACTACACCAGAAGTCAAAAGTTCAAAATAAAATCTGACCAACATAGCTACCCTCTGAAACTACACACACACACACAGAGAGAGAGAGAGAGAGCATTTGACTTGGGGACAGTGTTCCCTCTAAGCTGAGTTAGTGTGAGCAAGCTCACAGTTTTTTAGCCTCCAGCTCACAGATTTTTGTCTTAGCTCAGGAAGGATGGCTCCAGAGCAAACTAATTTATGCAGGAGCCAAACTGCTCGCTCACAGCTTTAATGCCAGTAACTCACAAAGTAGAATTTTTGCTCACAAGACTCCAAAGCTTAGAGGGAACAGGATTGTAATTATATCGATGTCATGGTAGTTATTCTCCTAAAATGTTTGGCATTACGTGCTTAAAAATCTAAGGCTGCAATCCTGAACACACTGACTTGGAAGGAAGCCCCCATGAAATCAACAGACCTTCTGATTAAACATCTTTATGACTGGGGATTAAGAAGGGCTGCATGGTGCAATGGTTAGCACATCAGAACAGTACCGGGCTGAAACCCCTACTCAGCCACAAAGCTTGCAGGGTTCCCTTGGGCCAGTCACTCGCTTTCAGACCAACAAGCCACTTTGAGCTCTACAGAGGAAGGGTGGGACAAAACCGTGATAGACAGAAATGAATAAGTACACACTGACCCCAAAATGACCAGAGATAGAGTACAAATTATTCCAGGATTTCCCTCCCTTTGTAAACCATGACTGATGGCTCAGGTTAAACAGCCTCTCATCAGCCTTACAAAGAAATCCTGTTTAAACATGATTAGGTTTCCTTAAACCTTGGTCAAGTGTTGGCGGTGGAATCCCAAACCACAGTTAAGGATCAGACAAAAATCATGGTTTAAACTCAATCTGAAAACCATGGGAAAGCCATGTTGAAGAGTCGTTTCCCCACTAGAGGAAAGCCCCCTCTAGAGGCAAAGTTAAGCACTGCAAGTTAAACCATAGTTGGCGCTGCCTGTTTAGAATCTCAACCAAGGTTACAGCAGCATACCATGGTTAGTGCTAACCACAATTAAGCCATACTAGCCTTCTTTGGTATCCTCGATCCTAAAAAACAAATACAAGCTCTCTCGGGCATTCCAGTTCCTCGGACAGCGGCTTTTATCTGGGCTAGTTTGGCAAAAATGGAAAAAGCACCCCAGTTCAAAGACGAACAACCTACCTGACTGTACAGCTGTTGAATGTATACACAGGCAGCTGATAATAATCTCCAATACCCAATGATAGCAACATCACGAACATATACGAGTACTTCCACGTTCCACAGTAGAGTATATCTATGAGATTCGAGTTGTGTATATGAAGAAGCAAGCATTATATATTAATTGCTTACAAGGCAGCTGTTTCTATTGCCCATGTCACTACGTTTTACTAAGCAATAATAATATATTCAACATGCCAACCTCAAAGATGAAAAGAAACACAAGCCTGCTCTGCAATCCCTCCAGGAGACCTACAAAGCTTGTCTAATAAAATGCAATGGTTGATATTATATATATATACTTTTTACTCTACATGATGATAATCCAGCACTGAAATGTCTGGCCAGCTATACTGCTCCGAGTCTGAACTTAATTCCCTAGGAGCAGATTTTTTTATTTTTAAAAGAGAGAGCTGAAATCAATTTAAAATGCATCATTCAGATCTGCAAAATATTCAAAATCCAATCCTGGCAAAAGATTTCTCTCTTCAGCAATGTCAGGGGTACTTTTGTGGGATGGGGGTGGGTGGGTCTAATGTACTTCCGTGCCACGGTGGCCATTTTGGTGAAAGGACTTGCCATTTTGATCCCTTCATTTTCTTTGTCTGGAAATCTGGAATTTGGCTTTGGCAATCTGCTGGTCGTGAATGATCACGACGCTTGGATTCAGTCCTCTTAACAGTGTTGCAGCTAAAGGGCTCAATTGTATTCGTGGGTCCCAAGGTATCTTTGGAAGACACTGGACCCCATAACTTTGCTGATCCTAAACGGGTCTGGGTCTGATCAGTGCCTGAATGAAATGCCTCCTGGGAACCCGAGATAAGCTGCCTTGAGTTCCCTGTTGGAAGAAAGGCAGGATATAAAAGTAATAAATAATAATAATAAATAATTATGTACAAGCCTAATAAATGCTAAAACCCTTGGGGGGGAAAACAGGTGATGTTAACACTTGGACAGGAGCGTATCTTATATACATGATCATTAGGTAGCTGGTAGTCCATTGAAAAATGTGTGTGTTGTCCTCCAAAGACAACGGGTTGGATCCAGACCATATTTTCCAATAGAAAAGAGCAAGAGTCCAGCAACACCTTGAAGACTAACAAAATTTGTGGCAGGGTATGAGCTTCTGTGAGTCACGGCTCACTTATCTGAAGAAGTGAGCAGTGACTCACAAAAGCTCATTTGTTGTTGTTCAGTCGCACAGTCGAGTCCGACTCTTCGCGACCCCATGGACCAGATCACGCCAGGCCCTCCTGTCTTCCACTGTCCTCTGAAGTTGGCTCAATTTCATGTTCGTTGCATCTATGACACTGTCTAACCATCTCAACCTTTGCCGTCCCCATCTTCTTTGACCTTCAATCTTTCCCAGCATCAAGGTCTTCTCCAGCGAGTGCTCCCTTCTCATTGGGTGGCCAAAGTATTTGAGCTTCAGTTTCATTATCTGGCCTTCCAGGGAACAGTCAGGGTTGATTTCTTTTAGGATTGACTGATTTGTTCTTCTTGCAGTCCACAAATGTTAGTCTTTAAGGTGCTGCTGGACTCTTGTTCTTTTCTACTGCTACAGACAAACATGGCCACCCATCTTGATCTATATTTTCCAGTGGCAGATTCGAAATTCCCTGCCTCCCCCTCCCCCTGCAACCCACGGATTTCCCTGAAACGCCTCTCCGGGTGGATAGGGGACCCTGAAGAAAGACACAAGGGGGGCCAGCAGCAGTAAGGGGGGAATCTGTGGAAATTCCCAGTTGAGTCTAGATCCAACCCCATGGCTGCAATCTTCAGGGCACTTTCCTGGAAGAAAGCCCCATTGCATAATATGAGACTCGCTTTCAGGTAAACCCACTTAGGATGGCTCCTCATGTCATGTGTAATAACACTACGCACCATGTGCTTGGCACACTATCCCAAATGTCACTGTTTGGGAGTTTGTGGTCACGCCTGTTGAAACCAGAACTCGATGCATGCTAGCCAATGTACACAACCAGCTAGCTAGGAAATAAAACGTGCCAGATTGTCCCATGGCTACTAATGAATGATGGTTGCCCTAGATATAACTGTTTATAATGTTCAGTCCACTAAGCAACGGTAGAGCGCCATGCTCTCACGCAATCGCTGCTTAATAAAGAGGCATGTTCCATAGAAGCAAGACGACTGTTGCTTCTTAATGGGTTTTTCATAGGGGTTTGCCCTCATCGTTACAAAAATGTTTCCGGAATCCTATAGCCAACTCCTGTTGCAGGTGCTCCAAATGTTAGTTATCTTAATGAAGAGTTTTCATGTTGTAGGAGAGCAACTCCCTCTTCCCTCTGCTACACAGAGGCCCCCTTACATGACATGGGCATTGCCACAGGGGCGCCGAATCACAAGGCCACCCGAGCATGAATGGACAGAACAGGAATCCATAAGATAGGCGGTCACCATGGGAGAGCCCACGACACACAAGGTACTCTCTTTGTACCGGAAAGGAGCCTGCAGGCTGTCTGAATGAAACGGGTGTCTGTCTTCAAATATGTTGAGAAGAAACATAAATGTGCAAGGCTAAATACAGCAGGATGCTTTAAAAATAGGCTGATTGTTGATGGCAGTTGCAACCCATGCAGAAAATCTCTACTGAAGTAACAGTATCCAGTACCCAGTACCCAGTTCACACATGCATAGTCCATCGCTCATCCTTTGCCACATCCAGAGATAACTGGCACATACGAATGAGTCTGTACAAATGAATCCCCCCCCCAAAAAAACCCCGAATTTTGATATCACCTGTTGTCAACTCAAATATAATACACAATGCTTTTCAGTGGAGAGAGTTTGTACATTTGGCCAAGAGCACATCTGTCAAGGGTTGACTATGCAAAAGATGAGAGGTCATGATGTTGTGCATGCATGTGTGAACGAGCCACATGGGTTACATCAATGGCGTTGCGTCTACAGACAATAAATATCTCCTTCATCGGATGCTCAGTCCCACTTTCCTAAAGCCCACTTTGCAGACATTCCAATACAGCTTCCATACTTGAACTTCCACTAGAGCTACCAAATAAGAAAGCCCAGACCGGCTCATCCACCTGTTAGATCATGCCACTTTTTTCATCCTGAAAAGAAGTTCGTGATGAGGACCGTCCTAGCAAAAACTCCTTCTCGTGAATCAGGCTGTCCAGCAGGTCTTCCTGTCGGTAATTGTGATAAACCTTCAGGAAGGCCAAAATGGTAATTCCGAGCCAACTCAGCCAGGCTGCCCAGAGGCCAAACTAGAGAGAAAGAGACAAGAAGAGGAGATGAAATAATGACTAACCTTTGCAAAATCAGCTGATGAACCACAAGCACGATTTGCAATTCCATTTATATGGCAAAACTTTTCATAGAATCATAGAGTTGGAAGGGGCCATACAGAGCATCTAGTCCAACCCCCTGCCCAATGCAGGACCAGTCTAAATATTCGTCCAGCCTCTTCTTGAAAGCTGTCAGTGAAGGGGAGCTCACCAACTCCCTAGGCAGCTGATGCCACCTTTGAACCATTCTGACTGTGAAAAAGTATTTCCTAATATCCGGCCGATACGTTTCTGCATGTAATTTAAACCCATTGCTTTGGGTCCTGTCCTCTGCTGCCAACTGGAACAGCTCCTTGCCCTCCTCCAAATGACAGCCTTTTAAATATTTAAAGAGAGCAATCATGTCCCCCCTCAACCTCCTCTTCTCCAAACGAAACATTCCCAAGGCCCTTAGCCTTTTCTCGTAGGGCTCAGTCTCCAGACCCCGATCATCCTCGTCGCTCTCTTCTGCACCCTCTCGATTTTGTCCACATCCTCATGACTCAACAACAATCCCCACCTTAACATGTTTCAACCTGGTCTTTTGTGTCTCAGACCATTGTCAGTTTGATTTCAAGGTATTCCAGCTTGGACTGCAGATTCCATGAGTGGGAATCCTTATAGAAGTGTTAAGTCTGTGCCCAACCCGATGTATGGATCCACCAGTCACCTCCATTTCAGATCCAAAAGGCAATGCTATTCACCTGAGTCAATGCACACATGCAATTGTAACCATCAGATACTGAATACGCAAATGACTATTAATGAGGGACACATGCATGTGCGAACAGACCTTAAGTGACGGTGGGGGCAGAGGATACCACTTTGTGCTGAGAGAAACATAGAGCTGGAAGGGATCTCCAAGCTCAGCTAGTCCAACCACCTGCACAATGCAGGAAATTCACAACTACCCCCCCCTTCCCAGTGGCCCCCACTCTATGCTTAGAGGAAGGCAAAAATCCCCCAGGATCCCTGGGCCAATATGACTTGGAGGAAAATTCCTTCCTCACCCCAAAGTGGCATGTAAGGAAGGGCCAGGATAACTAAGCACTGGTGCATCCCTTCCTGCCCTCCCTCTCACGATCTGCCTAAATTCATAGTGAGTCACAGAATCAGCATTGCTGTCAGAGGGCCATTTAGCCTCTGCTTAAAAAAACGCCAAAGGAGGGGTGCCCACCGCCTCCCGATGAAGCCGGCTGCACTGAGGAACTGCTCTAATGCTGCAGAACACCCAGATCCTTTCCTAGGAACAGAGAGACTGATTTCCCACAAGCCACAGCTCCGCCCTCGCTCTTCCCTTTCCCCGATTGTATGCGTCAATTTCCCACTACTTGCTGCGTGGCCGCATTTTGACCCGCAGCTTCGCCCGATTTTCCCCACGTCTTCTCGATCCTGTTTTCTGAGGATCGAAAAGATGCGGAGGAAATGGGGTGAAGCTGTGGGTCAAAATGCGTCCACGCAGCTAGTAGTGGGAAACTGACAAATACAATCGGGGGAAGGAAAGAGCAAGGGCAGCACAGCTGCTTGTGGGAAACAGAGGGTGATTTCCCACAAGCACTACTCCGCGCTCACTCTTCTCTTTGGCCCAATGGTACGTGTCAATTTCACACAAGCTGGAGGATTGAATAGACGTGGGAAAATCGCACGAAGCTGTGGGGCAAAATGCAGCCATGCAGCAGCTTGTGTGAAATTGACACGTACCATCGGGGCAAAAGGGAGGAGTGAGCGCGGAGCAGCGCTTGTGGGAAATCACCCAGAGACTGTGCAGGATACCATTCAACTTACCTGTGTGATGGCAAACTGGTCGTAGAATGATGAGTTTTCCAAATTCAGCTCAAGATCTATATCCTGTAACTCTTCACAGCTTGGAGGAGAAGACACATCGGGCGAAAGGGGGAAGAAAAGAAAATCATTTCAGCCGTTCCAAATGACCTTTTCAAATTTCACCTGAATCAAACCTCTATCGAGCTTCATTTTCTAGCATCAAAAGCCCACCACTGCATATAACAGCTGGGTGATAACGTCTTCATTATACAACAATCATCCCGCACCTTCAGAGAAACAGACGGACTTCCACGTTATAGCCATCCTTGCAGCCTGTCGCCGAAGCAATCAAAGCTGGCTTCCGTTTTATCTCACACAGAAATAATGGAACTAGGGCTGAAATGTTAATGTGCTTCTGTGTATTTTTGCTAACTGTTGCAGTTCCAGCCAATTTCCTTCAGATTGAGAACAAAAGAGACGCAGTATGAATTTTTCAGGCATAGCCACACCGCAGGTATACTCTGTTCTTCAGATTAGATCCTGCGTGGATTTGTTCCACTAATGGTCAAAAGGTGTCTTCCCCTGACGCGAGCGTCTCTTCCGAGTGGGAGAACCTCTTCTATCAGGGTCAGCACTTTGTGCCAAAGGAAGGTGCAGCCCTTAGCAGAATAAATCCTTAAGATCCACCATTCAGAAGAGCCTTTTGCACCAGGGGAAGGAAAGTTGGGTCAGGGGAAAGCTAGCGGGAAAAACCAAAGGATCCAACCCTAAGTTTGCCGGGGCCTTTCCATGCTCTCACTAAAACTCTGACACATGTTCTTTATAAGTCATTGCATAATACTTGTGGAATGTTTAAATAATTTTTCAGTAAACGTCATGTCAGTGTGTACTAAACTACAGGACTCAGAGCCCAGCAGCACCTTAAAGACTCACAAAATTTGTGGCAGGGGAGGAGCTTTCGTGAGTCCCTGCTCACTTCCAAGATGGGTAGCAGCAGAAAAGAGCAAGAGTCCAGGAGCACATTAAAGACTCACAAAATTTGTGGCAGGGGATGAGCTTTTGTGAGTCACTCTCATGAAAGCTCATAGCCTGCCACAAATTTTGGTAGTCAGTCAATCAGTCAGTTAGCCTTTATTGGCATAAAACAATACTTAAAAGAGGATTACTATAAAAGAGAAATATACATATAGAACCAACCATTTTACAGACTACATAATATTGCATAATGTTGCATAAAACAATTTGTTACGAACTATTACTCATTTTGGAGCTGCGGTGGCTCAACTGGTTAAGACGCTGAACTGCAGGCTGTGGAAGGTCGGTAGTTCAGCAGTTCGAGACCCGGGTGCCGCATGACGGAGTGAGCTCCCATCTCTAGTTCCAGCTCCTGCCAACCTAGCAGTTCGAAAGCAAGAAATTGCAAGTAGATAAATAGGGACCACTTCGGTGGGAAGGTAACAGCGTTCCGTGCACCTTGGTGTTCAGTCATGCCAGCCACATGACCACGGAAACGTCTTCGGACAGTGCTGGCTCTTTGGCTTTGAAACGGAGATGAGCACCGCAACCCTAGAGTCGGATTCGACTGGCTTTCGAGCAAGAGAACCTTTAAATTACTCATTTTGGTAGTTTTTCCTGTCGTAGCTTTATAGCTGATTGTAAAAACATGGCTACCTTCACGGATATTTCAGGAGCGGAGTCATTCAGAAGACGGTGCACTTTTAAAGCATCAGGAAGGTCCGTCATGTTGGCTAAGATAGGGTTTAAATATCTAAAACGTATAACTGGATTGTTGCTGGTATCTGGAAAAGTGACCTGTGACTCACGTAACCTCATCCCCTGCCCACAAATGTTGTCAGACTTTAAGGTGCTCCTGGACTCTTGCTCTTATCTCCTGCTACCCATCTTGGAAGTGAGCAGTGACTCACGAAAGCTCATCCACTGCCATAATTTTTGTTAAGTCTTTAAGGTGCTACTGGAATCTTGCTCTTTTCTACTGCTACAGACAGACGAACATGGCTACCCATCTTGATCTCTCTACTGGATTAAACGGGACAGAGTTGCTCAGCCTGGCCACTTTAGGGTCAGGAAGGGATTTTCCTCTGGGCATAAAGCAGTAGTCACAGAGGGAGGAGAGGACGGTAGTTGTGAATTTCCTGAGTTGTGCAGGGGGGTGGACTAGATTACTGTTGAGGTCCCTTCCAACTCTGTGTTTCTATGCTGTTCACCTTCCCCTGTTTGTTGAACGCTGGGTAATAAGAGGCAATAATAAGAAGGCAATAATAAGAAGGTCTTAATGCCCTTGCTGGTGGGCTTCTTAGGGACATATTTCTGACCACAGATGGAAATAAAAGGCTGAGCTGGATGGATCATCTGATCCAGCAGAGCTCTTCTTCTGCTCTTAAGTCTCAGATAAGATGCTTGCTTGTTTGCAGGGCAAAGGAGCACGGAGTTTATGAAAAGGCAGTGTACATATCTGACCAACAGAAATCCTTAAAGGGATCACAGAATCATATTGGGAGTGGGGGTTGGGGTGCTCAGTCCTAATGGCATCACAGTGTCTAATATCCAGCCTAACACAGTTTGAGTCCAGCGGCACCTTTAAGACCAACACAGTTTTATTCAAGGTATAAGCTTCCATGTGCAAGCACACTTCGTATCCAGATGGTGATGTCTGTGCAACCAAAGTCCACCCAGAAATCACAACACAGGTAGTGGTGGTGGCTACAAGCATGGAATTAGATAAGCATATGGAGCAGAGGTCCATCAGTGGCTACTAGCCACAAGGTATAGATAGGGACTCTGGGGCAAGTGATGTTCTGTCTTCTTGGTGCTTGGGGGGGTCAACAGTGGGAGGGCTTCTAATATCCTGGCCCCACTGATGGCACTGGTATTTCTGGCCACTATGTGATACAGAGTGTTGGACTGGATGGGCCTTTGGCCTGATCCAACATTGGCATCTCTTATGTTCTTATGTTCTTAACAGTTATGAATGCATTGTATCTCATAATCCCAGACACAACACTGGCTCGAATCCAATGATGCACAAGCAGAAACCTAAATGGACTTAAGCACAGTTCTGCTTGTATCACATAGTGTTTTGTCCTCGGTATATTATAGGGCACAAGGTCTTGCACAACTGGAAATGCAATAGGTCTGACTTAGCACAAGAAGCCACCGCTGTCTTTTTCTTGCATATCCACCTGTGCGAGAGCTCTAGCGCAAGTGGAAACGTTGCACTGGATCCAGCCAATTCCATTTTGGGCACTCAGACAATGGTGTCCATGATTGGCAAATTCTCCCCATTTTGAGAAGGATTGGGTTGCTAATTGCAAGCCCCACAACTGAATGCTTGCTCCAAAATTATAAGTTCATTTAGGGGCTGTAGCTCACTGGCAGAGCATCTGGTTTGCACGCAGAAGGCCCCAGGTTCAATCCCAGGCATCTCCAGTTAAAGGACCAGGCAGTGGGTGATGTGAAAGACCTCTGTCTGAGACCCTGGAGAGCCACTGCCAGTCAGAGTAGACAATATTGACTTTGATGGACTGAGGGTCTGATTCAGTATAAGGCAGCTTCATGTGTTCATGTGCTCACTTGTATCAAGGATTCCAAATTGGTTCCCAAGATAAACTGAGATCCTGCAAATGCACAAAACGTGTTCTTGCTTTGGTTCTTTTTTTGTCCTAGCTATGGAATCTAATCACAGGTCCTTCCACAAGTCTTTCCACTGTGTTGAGAAGTTTCCCATAACTTAGACAAAAATGCCTGGATTGGACATCTTTTTTCTCACAAAGGGGCATGTGCACACAGTACTCTGGAGCCTCCAAAATAATTTTCTGGGCTTTCATTCTGAACTTTAAATAGTGTCCAAGACTAGGACAAAAGGGCCCCACTGGTGGACCTCCTGATGGCACTGGTATTTCTGGCCACTGTGTGATACAGAGTGTTGGACTGGATGGGCCTTTGGCCTGATCCAACATTGGCATCTCTTATGTTCTTATGTTCTTAAAAGAAAATTAAGCTTACATCATACATTGCACATGTGCAGAATCTCCGTTTGGAGTAGGAACCAACATGGAACATCTCAGGGATCGTGGCTGGGAAGGGCTGTGGCTTAGTGGTACAGCATCTGCTTGGCATGCAGAAGGTCCCCAGTTCAATCCCTGGCATCTCCAGTAAAAAGGATGAAGCAGGAGGTGATGCGAAAGACCTCTGCCTGAGACCCTGGAGAGCTGCTGCCAGTCTGAGTAGACAATACAGACCTTGATGGACCGAGGGTCTGGTTCAGTATGAGGCAGTTTCATGTGTGCATGTGAGCTGAGTCTAATTCATATTCTGCACAAATTCGTTTCATCAACATTTCAGAGAACCAGTATGTGTGGGCTGTAGTAGTCACAGTGTTTGACTAGGCCTGGAGGGGATCCAGCTTCCAATCCCCACTCAGCCCTGAAGCTCATTGGGTGACCTTGGGACAGTCTGTCTCTCTAACCTTTAGTTGAGGCAGCGGGCATCCATTTGATCTGGCCTCCCCTCCAGTGACCGCAGTTCCTAGAAGCCAGATGGGGCCACGATATTATCCATTGAGGCACGCCACTGTTTTAGTCTGTGGTGATCTTAGTGATTTTAAAGGGGTTGTTATAATGCATTTTGGAGCTGCGGTGGCTCAAGTGGTTAAGACGCTGAACTGCAGGCTGTGGAAGGTCAGTAGTTCAGCAGTCCGAGACCCGAGTGTGCCGCATGATGGAGGGAGCTCCCGTCTCTAGTTCCAGCTCCTGCCAGCCTAGCAGTTCGAAAGCAAAAAAAAAAATGCAAGTAGATAAATAGGTACCGCTTCGGTGGGAAGGTAACAGCGTTCCGTGCACCTTGGTGTTTAGTCATGCCGGCCACATGACCACGGAAATGTCTTCGGACAGCGCTGGCTCTTCGGCTTTGAAACGGAGATGAGCACCGCAACCCTAGAGTCGGACTCGACTGGCTTTCGAGCAAGGGAACCTTTACCTTTACTATAATGCGTTTTATCTGTAAAGCTACATTTATTGCAGATCTTCATTGTAAATTATGAATTGTTTTATTTCCAATCTACATTTATTGCAGATCTTAATT